CTTTTCAGACAGGCAAAATATGTTCAATGACTCCTTATTCTCAAATACTGTTTTATTGCTAATTTCATCCTCAGATTACAATGTCCTATTCCAAAAGGAAAAAAAAAAGTTTTTAATGTATAAAATTCGGGGTTTGAGTTATACAAAGTATTTTCTAGTTTTACAAATTCTGAGTTATGGAGGAATAGTATCACATATGCACTACCTTTTAAATTCAAGTTAGAAATTGCTGAAATATGTTACCATGTTCCCCCTCCAAAATAACAAGAAACAACAACAAAAAACTCAAAAAAATATAACTCAGTCAATAAACTTCAGTCAAGAAAAAATAATTCGATATGCTTACAACCCACAGAGAATAAACACCAAAGAAAACCTGATATCTATCACTTTTCAGTGAATCTACATGTATAAGAAAATTTTTAACCAGAATGAAAGACTTTTGTCACAGAAATTAACCTACTAACAAAAATTAAGTTTAACACATTTTTTAACATGAATACAGAGAACTCCAAAGAAACAAGAGGCAATATTTTAATGCCAGGCGATACGGCCATGAGTCCTTCTGCTCTCAAACAGAAACACACCGACTTTCCTGTACTCCCAGCACCCACACAGCTTATGACCGAGAGAAACTGAGTCATAAAGAAGCCAGGTCATTGTCCTCATAACTCTTATCAGAAGGAATGTCTCCTGCTTTCCCAAACAGAGGCACAAATATGCAACCAGTATATAAAGCTAAGACACGCAAATAAGTCAGGGCAATGAGACTTCAGCACGGCGCAAAAAAATGATCTCCGTGGCATCTTGATACCTGTCCTGGGAGAACGCTGTGTGCTAAGAATCCTGCCCACACCTCCGTCCTGGTTGGGAGGAGAGCCCTGGAAACACCCCTATACAGGCACTCACAGCAGCAGATAAGTAGGACAACCCCCTTCCAGAATACTCAGCCCCTGTGGCCCCTGAGAGCTCAGGAAGCTGGTGTCATGCTAAGGGTCCGGTGCTGCCACGTAAATGGTCCACATGCAAGGCAGATCAGGAACACTGCTCCTGTCATGCTTCCCAGTGGGAAAGCTTACTGATGACTTTCAAAGGTGAAGTAAAAAGAACAGCAAGTTTCATATACACCTCTAAAACAGTTTGCCTTCCTTGCTGTAGCTTACAATCATTAAAAGAAGGAAGTTATGTGCTAGACATGGTGGCTCACAACTGGAATCCCAGCACTGTGGGAAGCCGAGGCAGGAGGATCACTTGAGCCTAGGAGTTCAAGACCAGCCTGGACAATATAGCAAGACCTCATCTCTACTAAAAAAAAAAAAATACATTAAAATTGAGCATGAGCAGTGCAAGGTGAGGTTTGTGGACACCAAGTTTTCCGTTTCCATCGTATTACAGCCCTACTGCAGAGATGGTCAGTGTACCTAAAACTCGAATTTTCTGTAAGAAATGTGGCAAGCACCAGTCTCAGAAAGTGATGCAGTGTAAGAAAGGCAAGGACTCCCTGTATCAGAAGCAGAGTGGCTGTGCTGGACAAAGTCAATTTTCCAGAAGAAGACCAAAACTACAGAGAGGGTTGAGCCTAACTGCAGATCCAAGAAATTTGCTGGTCATTATTATTAAGCGATGCAAACATTTTGAACTGGGAGGAGGTAAGAGAAAGGGCCAAGTGAACCAGTTCTGAACTTTGGGATTTTTTTTTTAAGTTGTGAGGGGAAAATGTTAAAGCTATAGAAAAATTACTTGTAGGAAAACAAATGCAGTGATATTTTCACTCATAAATAAATTAATTAATAAACGATTGGCTATAGTCCCAGCTACTCAGGAAGCTCAGGTCAGAAGATCACCTGAGCCCAGGAAGTTGAGGCTATGGTAAAACCATGATCTTGCCGCTGCACTCCAGCCTGAGCTACAGAGTGAGACCTGACAAAGAAAGAAAGTGACAAGCCGTGCACAGTGAGAGACAGAGGCAGGAGGATTGCTCGAGAGCAGAAGTTCAAGACCAGCCTGGGCAATGTTGCAAGACCCTGTCTTTACAAAAAAAAAAAAAAAAATCTTTTTTAATTAGCCAAGAGTGATGCAGCTACTTGGGAGGCTGAAGTAGGAGAACCACCAGAGTCCTGGAGTTTGAGGCTGCAATGGAGCTGTGATCACACTACTATACTCCAGCCTGGGGGACAAAAGAAGACCCTGTTTGGAAGGAAGGGAGGGAGAGAGGAAAGAGGTAGGAAGGGGAGGGAGGAAAAAAATGTAGGATCCTGTGGCCCAGTCCTGTCTTCGGCTGGGAGCGTGTTTTAGGCTACCCTTTGCTTTGTAGCTCAACTGCCCAATAAACTTGGGAATTCTGCACTACTAATTTCTACCCATTGGTCATAGACAGCACACACAGGAGATCCATGTTGTAGACATATGACCTTAGGAGGTTTCAACTCCAAGCCAACCAAGGTGCTGTGTAATAAATACACACGCTTTTCAAACACCACACGCAACCTTGTTATGTGGATCTGAGATTCCCTTCACCTACAGCATTTCACAAAGTCCTATAAGCGATCAGTCGAAAAGCCAGCTGCCCCCCAACATCACGCACTGCGATCAAAATGGGAAAATGACAGGCCTCTGTCAACACAACCACCTTTTAAAAATGATTCTGCCAGCTGCTCACAGATGGCTCCTCCCGCAGACCCTTCACAGCTTCTCGGCTGCCACACTGACCATGCCACATGCACGCAGGCTCAGCCCACCCAGGAGACATAGGCATACACGGGCACTCCTTGGTAACAGCCTGGGGAAACCACCCAAGCCTTCTATACCTAGAGGGGACGGTTTCCAGAGGCAGCCAGCAGAGGGGTGGCTGCTTCCCCCAACAGCCCATCAGGTAGGTGCTTTTGGAGACAACGGTGATAGCGTTGCCATGGGGGGGTGGGGACCCAAAGCTCAGGTGCCAGACCTGAGCTGGAGAAGGTAAAGGGTTGCAACCCCACTCTTGCCTGTAATAGCTGCCAGGCAGTATTTCATCCCCCAGCCCCGCCTCCGAGAGCTGCCCCTGGCTGTAGCTCACAACAGCCCGGAAGCTTGCAGCAAAAGGCCTTGAGCGAAACTAGTATTACCCTCAGACTCCATCCTAACATTCTTGCTACTTGGCCAAGGAACCTCCTCCACCCGCCCTGTCTCAGCTGAGAGATCCCGGGACATCCACAAGCCTGGGACTAAGACTGAAATCCTGAGGTGCCTCTTCCAGTCAGGCCAGGGCCCTTTCGCCGCCCTTTTACTCTTCACCCTGGCGGGCAACTGGCAGGACTTGCTAAGAGCCAATTTTGAAATTTTACATCACAAAACCACAGGAGCAAAACTGACTCCACCCACGATAGTTCCAAGCCCTCAAAGTCCATTATAGGGCAAATTTCTCTACGGTCTGTGCCATTTATCATTCAAATTAGGCTTTTTCCACTTTCAAGTTGGTCCATATCACCAACAAAAGCGGCCTGGCAGCAATCTCATTTCAGTTAGGAGAGAGCTAGACACTGAGGCCACAGACCAGGCCGCCTCCTGGATGCTTTGGAAAACCCAAAACATTGTTTTCTCTCATTTAGCTACACAATTGCACCTGAGGCCTCAAGAGATAATAAAGAATATTTTAGCATCATCTTTAACTTTTCATTTCCTCACAAGCAATATGTTCTATTGATCACTTTAGATCCTTAAAGTTACATCTAACACAACTGTAAAACACACACACACACATGCAAAACAATCCAGAGTCCATTTTATGAAACTAGAGACATTTTTTAGTATTTGTCTCTAACAAACAAAAAACAATTAAAATGCTTCTTCCCTGGTGAAACTTGGTACAAACAGATAAAGCTCAGAAGAATTTGAGACAGAGGACAAAGAGATATATCAAATATAAGTGTGAGCCCTATTTAAACATTTTGTTTTAAATATTTAATTTGTGTTTGTTCAAGCCAGTAAAAAACACCTCGAGGGCAGCAGGTCCAATTTCACCTGGGGCGCTTGTTCAAAAAAAACGCAGATTCCCAAGCCCCACCTCTAAGAGTCTCGGAAAATCCAGGGTGGGGTTAAGGAATCCGTAGTATTTTAAAGTACCCGAATAATTCCAGGGCAAAACTTGAGGTAGAAAACAATGACTAAGTCAATAGTTATTTAAATGCTGGTGTTTAGTCCTAAAAAAAAAAGAGTCTCAGCATAATCCTAAAAACACCTGGATCTCACTGAGGTCTGAGATGAGTCCCAATGGTTGTTTTTTTGTTTTTGTTTTGGTAAATTTGGGAAACTTCAGGGTGGGAAAATACTCTTTCCTTGAGGCAAACTGAGTTTCCATCACAGTTTTACAAGAACTACCTCTGTGACCTTCACAAAAGCCCGGGCATCGCCTGTCCTCAGTGACTCCCAGGTTTGCCATGTGCCTGAAAAAAGTCCCTGGCACAATTCAGGTGCGTTAGAAGGCAAGTTCTCCCAGCAGGAGCACAACTGGGCAGAGGGATGCCAGTGAATACAGTCGTACTTAACACTTTAGGATGAGCTTTGCTTTGGGTAGATGATGATAAAAGGAAAAAGAAAAGAAAGCTGGAATTGATAAGCTAACAGGACTTCAATGCTATGGGCACTCTCAAGTTTATGGAACCACTAGACTTGCAGCTTTCCTGATCTACATTAGAAATGCAGACATATAGCAACTCTGGGGGGAAAAAAACCGGAAATAAACAATTTAAAGCACTTTCAACCAAAACTTCTTGCTTTAACTTGGGTTAATTTAACCATAAAAAATGATGTAGACCTTAATAAAGAGGTTTGTAAAGTACTTAAGTTTGTCATTTTGTTGACATTTAAATGTAATTTCCTCCAAAAACTATTCTTAGGTATCAACTAGCTAAACTGAACTGTTGGTTTAGATTATTGTACTCACAGATAAGATAAAATTTGAGATAATTTACTAGAGAGCAACCCATTAACTTACAAGGACTCCACATGATTTTAACACTTACCCCTGAGGCTGTAGGTTGTGTTGTAGGGGAAGTATTTTTGCTGCAATCATCTGAGTTCGAAGAGGTGGAAGTTGGAGTCATAGGAATGGAATTGTTGCTACTACCTGCAACAGTCCAAATTAACCTTATAAATATACATATACTCCACTGTTGGCACATACTATATAATTAAATGGCATTTTATTATATTTACCAGAGCAAGTCTTTGACTTATTTATGTTCTTAGGTTTTCGTTTCCTGGTTTGAATTCCCTCTTTTTTCATAGCAAGCGGTCGAGGCACCTAAAACATTTCCACATAGGCCATAGTTTAATCAATATGATATTGAAGAAAAACCAATCTGAAAATTCAACACTGGTACTGAAAGCCCTCATTTGAAAGAACTTGGCATAAATGTCAATCCAATTTTCACACACATTCAGTAGATTCCAAAGTGCACAGAGACTACACTTTCCCATCAATTGCAGAGACTCCTTCAGGGAAAATGGAGTGATTTGCCAAGGAGAATTCAATTCCCTCAACCTAATGTTTATTGTTTGGATTGACTTCAATTATACAGTAAATATTTATTGAATAAACATTATTTCAAAGATACCCATGCATTCTCTTCCTCCTACAAACGCAAGGCCATTTTTCTTTTTAAGATTGAGATGTTTAAAATATCTCTTGCAACTTTTAAAAATAATGCACAAAATCTTTCAAATTATAACTGTCAAATGTATTACTTCTTCACACAAACACCTTTGATTATACTCAAAATTATTGGGCATTTTCAGTTGATTTCTTTAAATGTGCAGTTTTTTTAAAAAGTTGACTACCATGTTATAAATTCTAAAATGCACATTTTTCACACTCGTGAAGTTGGAATGGGTCTTACAAGGACGCTTGCGATAGCTCAGTTGGCTGCATTTTTTTGTTTCTTACTGGTATATAATAGTTCATAACCAAATTAATAATCCCTTAGATTCAATAAAGTGAATATATTCATGTGTACCTACAGAATATAAAGTATTTTCAATAAAATGTATGCATTTCAAATTTTCCCTTTTATACCTTTTCAATCGATGATTTTTTTTTAACTGAATCACATACAAACCAGACACTAAATGTATATACAAATAAGAATAGAGAGCGCACCCCATGGAGTTTCATGTAGAGTCCACAAGCATTGCACACGGGCTCACCCTCGGCATTTCTGCGCCATAAGGTGGTGGTTGTGGTGTGACAGTTGGCACAGGACAATCCAAGCCGCCTTGAGGAAGGCTAGGAACAGCACAAGAACGTGTCAGTGGAAAAATATACATAATTTCCATGTATAGACTACATACATATATTAATGTATCTCTTCCCTGTCATCAGCAAGCACGTACCTGGTTTATTATAAATAAAATGTAGGAAAAATTGGAAGTGTAATTAGGCTGACTTTCCTGGACCAAAAAACTTGAGGTCTGCAAGGCATGCTGAACCCCACCCCATATTTGATTTGCTCCTTAGCAAATCCCCGTAGATTAAAGAATACCCGGGAGCTGTCACACAAGCGGCCAGTAACTCCAAAGTTTTTACTTGCATCATGGCATTCAGTGTTTCACCTACAGTTTCTTCTCCAATTTGGAGTTTCCCAGTTACTGCTGCTACTTTTTTTGGAGGAACTCAAAAGATTTTCTATAAGTTGCCCAAATAGAACTATATTCCAAAACACGCCAGAAGTAACATTCCAACTAGACACTACCCTGAGAGTGCCTCCTAGCTCCCTCACCACACGGACAGCACTTGGCCATGCACATAGTCACAGGCCTGACACAGCAAATCATGCAATGCAATCACAAGCCACCCGCCAAGGTGCTAGGCAGTCTCCACTTCCCCTGAAAACTGGAGATGATTCAGGTCTATTTCTCAGATGTGTGTAGAGGAATAAACTAGAAACTTTAGAGAGGCCTATATCCATGAATGGAAACGGAGCTTAGAAAAGGTATGACATTTTTGTAGAGAAAGAAATATATTTTTATGCATTCCATAATTATCATCATGATAGCCTACTGCCTGCGCTATGACTGTATCCATTTTAAAAGGATACAAGCAAGTGGTGCAGCCTTGTCTTAATGCTGCCATTATCTTACCTACAGTGATACTAATATATTTTATTTGCCCTGTCAGTTTCACACTCCACTTTTGTTCATACAAAGGGTTATTTGATAGGCCACCTGTCTGGTACTGTCACTCCCATTTCCATGTTTTCTTTATGCTCATAACACCCTTACAGAGAATTTATTTCCTCTAAATTGTTACATGTGAATTAGAAAGGATGAGAATTTAAGCCACTATAATTTCCCAACCAGAACAGCAAAATAGAAAATGTTTTAAAATCACCCAACGTAAATTTCCTTTTAAGTTTGTTTTAAATTACTATAAAAATTGTGTCGTGACTTTGGGGGAAAAAAGCAGGGGCTGGGGGTGGGGGGGATTCAGAGACCCAAAGCAAGTTGAAGATTACAAAGTTTTAGAGGTTAAGAAAAGAAATTGTGAAGGATGAAGAACAGAAATGTAAACTGAGCATGTATCGAATATGACTCCAGAACAGAGACTCCAAAACCTTTGCTGGCAAATGTAAAGATGAAACTGAATTTTGCATTTACAGTTCACATCCTGTTACATTACTTTAACTCGCTCTTTATAGACAAGTTATAAAAACAAAGAGACACTGGTAAACCTTTTAGCACTACAACATTTCTAAGGTGTCAGTGCTAAGAATCAATTTGACCGCTGGTTGAAATGAACAGGCATGGCTGCAGTAGAACTATTAAGAAATTACTTTGCTAAAATGATGAAGATTTTGTAACAAAACCTTACACATCAAGATTTCTTTTCTTTTCTCTCTCTCTCTCTCTCTCTCTCTCTCTCTCTCTCTCTGACAAAAAGAAAGCAATTTTCTAGGAGTGCACTTCTTTCTTCTCTTCGTAAACGTGAAATCAGTCAACGAAGGACAGGAAGGTTCATTTTATAAATAGGCCATTTATGACAGTTTCCAGTGGAATTTGGAGCCAATGTGAGGCAAACTTGTTATCAGAATTTGCCATTGTAACAAAGAACTTTATGACTGTCAACTGCAGATCATAAGTGAAGCCAGTCCTCATAAACATGTGAAATGCAGGTGAATGGGTTATAAAAGTTCCTTGTAACAAGTGATCTCGGTTCTATTTCTCACTGACAAGGAATTCAAGTTACACCATAAATCTTATTTTGCAATGTATTACAAGTTCAAATTCACAGTGATTGGTTCTGTACTGCTGGCTAAACAAACTTGGGTTCAATATTCTGTTTCTGAGAACTAAGCCAGATCCATCAAAACCATAAATAAGAAGCCCAGAAGGAGAACCAATTGATAGTGACACACCCTTCAATTGGTATCATTTATAGGCCATTTACAAAGCATATTGGCTGACCTTGGTTACGGCCAAGACATCTGCCACAGAGAAAACTAATTGATTCAAGGTATGTTACAAACTGTTTTCTTTCTGGTAAATTATTTTCACTGGTAATGCAAAAAACAAATGGCATTATCTAAGTATGGATGTTACTAGGTCAAATTTATAATGTTAACTAGAACCTAAATGGCTACTACTCCTTCACAAGATTTTTGTTCAATCTTGGGAAAACGTTACCTTTTAGAGAACAGTTAGTACTCAGCTCAAGACGCCTTTCCAAAAACATAATCATACGTTGCATTGCTCATGCATTGTCTAATACACAAAAACAAGAAACTTGCGTGGAATATTTTCCTGTGACTACTGTTTCTTTTTTAATATGATGCATTTAAGAAAAATGAAAACCACAGAAAGTTGCACTTAAGGGTGCCCTTTGAAGAAAAGTTTAAGCTCCGGGAAGTTGTGACAGGTTCAAGGCGCATACACTCATTAAATTAACCTCAGTCACTTTATTTTAAATGCATTAAAAACAAAACAACCATAAAACTAATTGCTTCTCTTTAAGGTGTCAGACTTACATTGTGATGTAATTTCACTCTAATCTAGTTAACACAAACAACATGTGTAGCATTTGTTCCTGCTAATTAGAGTATAACAATTAAATAAATTACTTGGATACTTAAGACGTCTGGCATCTAACTGTAAAATATTTAGCTTTAAACGGTTATTAGATTATGAGTACTTGGCTAAACAAATGTTAGCCTTACGGTGGGGTTTGTGAAGGCTTTAATTTATTTTCTCTACCTACTACCGCGGTAAATACTCTCTCTCCTGCTAATAAGCACACATAACAATGGCGAGGGATGAATCCCTGAAGAAAATCAGATTCTTATACTTTAAAACATGGCAAAATGTGTTCGCGTGGGTGGAAATTCTCAACTTGGAAGCATGCTACACGTTTTCTCAACTTCTGTGTGGTGCTCTGATTTAAAAACAACAAAGGATGAGTAGTAAATGAATTTTCACCAGACTCCAGGGCAGTCCAAAAGACCTCTGGAATTTGGGACTACGCCTGAAGATACGAGGTAGAAATGACCAAGAAGCAGAAAGAATAAAGTCAAAGAAATGCAGAGTGAGGCTGTGAGGAGGGGAGGGAGGGCGGTGTGCTTGTCATATCCCACGTGGGGGTCATGTCATAAAGCGAGCGGCTTTTGCAAGAATAAAATCCAAACCAGACCAAAGAGTACGCCGTAAAACATCTCCATCCTTGGCCTGGCCTGGGTCGGCCTACTCGGCTTTTTTCTCCAGGTGTCACCACCATTACCACCATTCAGTCATTGAGAATCCTTCCGGAGTTATTGCACATCTAAAGATTTGCAAATCGAGATTTTTGCAAATTTCAGACGCCAGCACGCCGCACCTTCCTTTCTGTCATTTAGGGACGCCCTTCCCTGCGTGTCAACGGGGCGGGGGGGAGGGGAGGCCGTCCTGGCCTCCCGGACGCGGGGACGGGGACGCCTCCACCCGGGCGCCCGCGGGTGCGCGCCGGAGACGGCCGGGCCGGGGAGGGGACGGCCGGGGCCTCGCTCGCGCGCGGGGGCTGGCACTCACCACGCGCTTCTGCGGCTTGATGAGGGGCCGGCTGAGGCCGTTCATCTTGCTGTAGAGCCCGCAGGC